AAATACCACAGAGCCAAGTGCAGATCCCTGAGATACCACACTGGAGACTTCCTGCCACACTGACATTCAACTATTAACAACCAGTCTTCTAGAGGCCTTTTTCTTTTCAGTAAGGCCAACAAGTGGTTGCTGCAGCATTGCAGAGATGCAGATCTTCGTGAAGACCCTGACAGGCAAGACCATCATTCTTGAAGTCAAACCCAGTGATACTATCAAGAATGCCAAAGCCAAAAATATCGAGGACAAGATGGGTACCCCACTAGATCAGCATCTGATTTTTTTCTGAAAAAGAGCTTGAAGAGGGCTGTACTCTCTCCAATTACAACATCCAGAAAGAGCTCTCTCTGCACTTGGTGCTCTATCTGTGAGGGGGCATCACGGAGCCTTTTCTTCCCCAAGCAGCCCAGTACACCTGTGACAAGATAATCTTGTCACATAACATGAGAGAGTACACATCAGGCAGTCCCTCTGTTGAAGAATAACGCAATGTGCTCCTTCATCATGGACTTTTTCACTTGTTTATTAAAGACAGACTTTCAGTGCGTCAACAGACTTCCTGACAAGACTGTCCTCACCACAACCCAGCCAGGGCTGAGGGTGGATGCACCCAGTCCCCACTATTGCTAAGGTATCCTCTCCTCCAGTACTCCTACCATTGATGGTTGAGGAAGATGGGGAAGATGCTGCAGCAACAGAGGAATCTGAGGCAACAGCTAATGTGTTCCTGAGTGCTAAGACCACAGCCCCAAAAGAACAGTTATAATTTAGGCCTAGCCCAACCCACCACTCCAGCCAGTTTTCTACTTCTCGTGGGTAGGATAACAGGATGCTCCCACCAGTGACTACTTTGAAAAAAAACCAAAAAAACAAACATAAGCTCCAGCACCTCCAGTGCTTTCGGGAAAAACTGAGTACTCGGGGTGAAGAATTATGCAGAAACATATCCTTATCCAACAAGTGGAATCAGTACAATTGTCTCAGATAGATGCTGATGAGGGCTCTCCATTACCTTTGGGTTTCTGTGACCTTGGGCAAGTCAGTTAACATCTCTAGGGCTGTTTAACTCTAAAATGTGGGGGATTAGATTGGGTGGTCCCTAAAGTTCTATGATTCTATTCCCTTCCTCATTTTCCATCTCCATTCCTACACCTACTTTTACCATTAACTTTGCCCAATGCCGACAGAGTAGAAGCCTAATGTTTACTGAATGAACTACTCTATTTCTAAAATGGCACCACCTACACAGTTCAAAGAATATGTCTCAGAATAGCTAAATCACTAGATTCTGTGATTCCTAGGACCATGTGTACTCAACATGCACCTATAACTCTACCTACCCCTTCTAATTTCCCCAGCCTCTTTCCACCTCTTGCTCCCCAGGCATTTCCTCCCTTCTGCAGCTCCACCATCCAAACCAGAGTGCCTAAGATACTGAGAGAAGCTAGGCCATTGGATTCTGTGCTGAGGCATGTCCTCATCAAGCATCCATACCTGTCACACTGTCCTCCTCCAACCACCTTCCATCTCCTACTCTGTAATGTAAACTCAAGAGGGAATGCCTACTTTTGTAGTTGTAACCCCAATGTACATGGTTCAATCTTAATTTTCCCCCCTCTCCCTAAGCCTACACATTCAATCAGATGCCAATTTTTTTCTAATGATATTTTTAACATTCCCTTCCTCTCCTCTCTCTCACCTACCCTTAGTTCAAGCCCTTATCTCTTCTCAACATACACATTGTAACAACATTCTGCATGTTCTTCCTATTCCATATCTTCAGTTTAACCCCATCAAATACATATTTCTCTTTACTAATCTCATGAAAACAGATACAATGTCACTCTATTCAAAAAACTTCTGTGATTCTCTAGTGCCTATAGTACATCCTGACTGAAATTCAAATTCTTCCATAATGTGGCTCCAACCTTCCTGACCAGGTTGGGAAAACAAAGCACAAGCTCTGTATGTAGTTGGCACTTACAAATGTTTGGTTTACTAATATAAGTTTAGTAAGATTACTTCATTTTATACCAAACATATTATGACTAGAACAAACTGTTATTTCACAGCTTTATTCCATATTTATAACAATACAATAAACTGTCTTGTGGTACAGAAATTTCTCCTACAATCACAAAATATACACTTAAAAGTTCCTCTCCAGGAAAAATGGCCCTCTACCTCTATACCATCCTTCAGCTTTATCTTGACCTTAATTTTTTTTTTTAAATACAGAAGCAATTTCACGAATCAGTCATCAGGGTGTCCAAACTGTGTCCCTCACCTCTTAATTAAAACATAGAATATGCCATGATGAAAATGTTTGGTATTTTCCATTCCACCTATAATCTATTACAAAAGTGTTACACTGCAAGCATTTAGGTAAAAAAAAAGGTAAACAACAACACCCACAATTTTTTTTTAAAAAATCCAAGCTTATAATAAGGGCATTTATCAGTCAGTAAGCAGCAAGTGAACAAGGATTCACAATAGCCACTTGCTTTTTTCTTCTAATTGACAAATGCTTTTTAAAATCAGTAGCACAGATAAATATGGAGTAAGTGGATTTTAAAATCCCCCTCAGGTTCTTACAGCGAGTACTTTTGATGTTACAACCAATTACTGAAGTGTTACAACACACAAAATTCTAACCAGTGAATGTAATTTGTCTTTATACAAGTTTATTTTCTGTCCCTAGTATTTGTGAGGAATTGAAATGTTGTCACTATCCAAATCCTCTAGTGTATTAAAAAGTGGCAGTAGTTACTGTCCATCAACTTCAGCTCCTTTGTAGGGCTTTTTACAGTAGATTCTTAGGTCTAGTTCTCAATCACGGAAACGTAGCAATGACAGACATCTAAATACAAAATGCTCGAATTTTTTTGTCTGCTTTAAAAATATGGTCAACATACCATTTATTTGTTATTAGTACAACAGTAATTTTGTGCTGAGAATTACAAACCGTAGACTCTAGGTGTTTTACTTCACAAAGAGAGTCTAATAACAGTTGAAAAAATTAATAATTTCTTAAAAAAACTCACAGCAATTTGTTGTTAAACTGAAACTACTACAAAAGGAACAATAAATGACTCGAAAATAAATTTTTAAAATTTTAGCCAAGAGTAGTCAGAATTTCAGTTTACTGTTTACATATTTTATGTCATATATTATGAAGCTACCACATACAAGAAATCAAAAAATAAATCACCTTGAAACTAACTAAACTGCATGTTCTAGGAATACAAGCTTTAGAATAAAAAAATGTTTGCACACAGTAGTTAGTTGAGAAAAGCTGTCCATTCACCTCTTGGCTTGTAAAAAAAACATTTTCCAGAATTCACTCTAAATGATTAACAAAACCTGTGGGGGGGAAAAAAAGAAATACTGTTGACAAATTTTCACTGTAGAATCTACAAGTGATAATGTAGAACTAGAAGAACAAAAATCATCAACTGAAAAGTTTTCATAACATATCTATATACAGACTTGCTAAAGCAGACTATCTTCCCAATGTGAATAAAGAATTCTACAATACATTAAAAATAATTTAATTGCTGTGACTGTAAATTAAAAAACAATCTGAATCTTTATTTTTCCTCTTCTGTCTCCACATCTGATTTTCATACAGCTGGAAGGGACCTTAGAGGCCATTTAGTCCAAACTCCTCATTTCACAAAGTGGGAAACTGAAGTCCAAAGAATTACACAGCAAAAAGCACAGGACTTGATAGTCAGGAGACCAAAATTTATTAACTGTATAATCACAGACCTAGAGTCTCAGTTTCCTCCTTTGTAGAATGGGATACTGATGCTCATATTAATTACTTCATTGTGAGGAAAGTGTTGGGGAAGGGGGGTAGCAAGGTGGTGCAGTAGCTAGAGGGTAGGCTTGGGAGTCAGGAAGACCTGAGATCAAATCCAGCTGACAACATTTACTAGCTGCGTGAGGTTGGCAAGTCATTTAACTGTTGTTTGCCAGTTTCCCCATCTATAAAATGGGGATAATAATACCATCTATATCCCTGAGTTGTTGTGAGAATTGAATGAAATAATATTTGTAAAGCACTTAACACAAACCCTGACACACAGTAGGCTTTGTCATTAAATTGTCATTTAAACGTAAATTATTATTAGTATTAATTGACTTCTCCCAAGTCAAAATAATAAGTAGCAGAACATAGCATTTAAACCAAGGTTCTCTGGCTCTAAATCCAGTGCTCTTTCAGCTGCTGTCATTTTAAGTTTGCTTCCATTCCACAATTCTTGAGGGAAAAGCTCTAATTAACTTAACGGGAATTCTTTTGTTTAAACAATGAAGAATCAGTTTCACAGAAACTCATGAATAGGTCATTTTTCTGAAATATCCCTAGGTAAGAAAGGAATAATTCCATGCTAAAGATGAGACAGATTAACAGAGACAAACTAGACATTTAGATATTATTACACAGAGAACCCATGTTTTAGATGAAAATAATTTAAAGAACCACTTGCCTTCCATGACTATTCCACTGATCATTTCTGTTACTTTGTCTTCTATAATCACTGAGTTTGGCACAAGTAAGGCAGCATAATGGCATGCTTTAATATTCTTTTTGTTTTTGGTGATTCTATCACTGTAGGTAAATTTCACTTAACCAGGAAGATTAAAATGCCAAAAACTATGGGAAAGGAGTTAAAAACTATAAACTACCTTCTGGGCTGCAAAGTTTACAGCCTAAACAAGGGTAAGTAGAGAAACAAAGCATAGGGAATAAGGCTTACAATTAAGTACCCCATGACTCGAAGCAAAACAGTGTGCATAGTTAACTGTAACCATTGTTCTTTCAAGGTATGATTTATATATATGTATGTTTTGATTGCTAGAATTTCTGATATCTGAATTTCTTCAATGAAAGAAATTAATGCCAAGAATCTATAAAAATCAAATAAGGGGAAAAAAGGAACAGTTAAAAGATTTCAAAATTTTATCAAACAGGCAAACAATGAATCTGACTCTTACCTTTAACTATTACGTGTAGCAGGCACTTTGTTTTCCCCTTCTATTTCTTCTACCCTGCTTGGGTCATAAGGTCAGCAATGTTTTTCTCGAGATCATCAATGCGACTGCTCATATCATCAAGTACGAGATGTTAAAGACAACACTCAGTAAAGTTATTCCATGACTTATCATATCTCCTGCTCTACTCACACATTAAAGTACATGGCCTCTAGCAAGTCAAACTAGCATCCAAATTTAGGCTAATGTGAGCAGGTTATGGCTTAACCTGATTTTCCCAAAGGAGCAGAAAGGGACTGACCTACAAATGATATTCATGAGATATACCTGTTTTCCCATCCCAACTGTGCCTTCCTGTTTCCTTTCCCATATTTTTTTTGCTTCAGAGCCTATGATTTCAGTGGTGTGAAAACTATCTCCAATGATAAAGATCAAGAATCTCAGAGAGTTGCTTGAGGCACAGAAAGGTTAAATGACTTGCCCATAGTCATACTGCCATCAGAAGCAAGACTTGAAGGTGTTCCTAACTCTGAGCAGTCCTATATCCACTACATCTCAATGCTTCAACCTTGGTTACCTTATAGATACAAATACACACCCAAACATACACATGAGTATATATGTATGTGGTAATATACATGTAAGCATACAGCTATAGCTAAACTAGCTAATGGAGACTGGTCTCTGTAAGATGTATGTAGCTGTAGCTACAGTTAGTAAAGGTTGGTCTTGGCAGTAGCCACATACATACTCCCTGTACTGGGCTAACAGATGTTCCTGGGTCCAGGCCTGGGGATGACCTGAGCAGGGGTATACCCTGGCCTTCATAAAAGAAAAAGGCCAACAAGCTAGTCACTTCAGAATTTTTCCATCATTTATGTACCTCCCAGTCCCTTTATATACATATAAGTGGTCTCTAACAAGACTAGTCTCCAGCTCAGCAGAGCTCAGGTCAGAGGACTGTACCATCATCCAATATTGTGTGGGAGAGAAAGCCTAAAAATATGGAAAAGAGCAGCAAGAAGGAAGCAACTCTAAAGAGAAAGGATATTTCGGCCAATTATCTGGTCTGACATGGTCTGAAACTTGTCCTGCATCTGCTGGAGAAGAGTCTGAACCTGCAGAAAGGAAGAAAGAAAGAAATCATGATTAGTGGTGGGGAAGAAGCTTGCTGAGAAGCATCTCTGAGGCTGTTAGGGTAAGGGGGGTTGGTGGGGGGCAGGGTTTTCTGGGAAGCATCTCTGGGATGTTGGGTAAGGGGAATGGTGAGAGGAGAGTTAGCTGGGAAGCATCGCTGCTTTGTTGGGTAAGGGGGAGGATGGGGGGCAGGGCTAGCTGGGAAGCATCTCCAGGCTGTTGGGTAAGGGATATGGTGAGAAAGGGTGGAGTCTAGAAATAGGATCGAGGGCCTGGGTCCTCTCGGGTCCGCGGGTACACTCTGTGGAGTCACCCAGGGTAAAAGCCGGGATCTGTTCCCGCCCCCCGCTTCCGGACCGCCCCCCCCCAGTGACAGGAGGACTCTGACTCAAGGCTCCCGAGTGCCATTCAAGGGAGGACTTAGGGGTCTCCCGCCCAGGAGCTGGGGAAAACGGGAGCGGAAGGGAAAGGGGGTGAACTGGCGATCGGCCGAGGGTCGGCCGAGTGATAACCCCGCCAAGCAGCTGCCCCCAGGGGATGGGTCGGGGGCGGAGAACGCTGAGGGGGAGCCGAAGCTCCAGTGCTGGGCGGCGACTGGGCGGAGGCCGCCGAGCTGCGAGGGGGTGGGCGCGACCTTTGCCTCCAGCAGCGCGCAGGCTATCCTAGGACCTCCGAAGCGATCCTTTCCCCCACCCACCGCCCCCCGTCCCATCCCCCGGCCCTGGGTCCCACCACAGCGGTCAGGTCCTGTACAGTTTTGGGATCTGTCTCCGCCATAGCGCCGGCTCCTGATTGCACTCAGCTTCCCAAGTCGTCTCTAAGGCCGATGTGCGCTTGCGTCCCGGAGTCGACACGCCTACTGAAGCGCGTGAGGCTGTATCTGCGCCTGCCCTGGTGCCCCGGAGACGTGTGGGAAATGGAGTTTCTGTGAGTGGCGGGAAGCACGGCATCAGAAGCGGGGTAAAGAGAGATTCGAAGGGGGCGGGGCACGAGGGCTGACCCCGCCTCCGTCCTGCCCTCTCCCGCTCGCCCACACTTTCTTTCCTCACTGTCCTCCCCACTTCCTTCCCAGTGTCTGAAACCCTATGGATCCCAGCCGCTTCTCTGTGCTCCTCCAATCACTGACGCATGCCCTGGCACCCGTCGTGACCCCACCCTCCTTGCATCTCCTACACTCCCCATCCCCACCCGCCCCTAGGCGCTCCCCTCACTTCCCCCCTGAATCTCCCACATCCCACCTTCTGCGCTTCCCTCTCCAGCTCAGATTGCGTCCTGTGTTGTTCTTTATGGACACAGGGGATGCCTGTATCATCCTCCTTTCCTGGGCTCTATTTCCTCAGTCAATCAATGAACAATTATTCAGCACTTACTATTGTCAACAGAATTTTATTGAGCCAGTGTCTAACCTAGGAATGAGGAGTGCCAGGGACCAAGTAGCTGCTTAATTAATTACTTTCAGAGAAAGGAATGCTTTCTGTGCTGGAGTAAAGACACAGCTTATATACATAAATCACAGGTTCGGAAGGAGGAGGACCACGAGTCCACAGTACAGGTGTTCTGGAGTCCTGTGGGTACAGTATTGTTTCAAGTCCTTGGGGGTCCTTACTTGGTGGGATGCAGGACCAGAGTTCTGTGACAGGAACAGGTTCTACAATCTTTGATTGGCTTCACTTAACTTACACAGATACAGAAATGTAGTGATTGTGAGAGTGTTGTTAGGGATTTGGCTGATCATTTCAAGTTGCATTGTAAGTCTCTGACTCCCAAGCCGGAAACTCCTGAGAAATCTGAATTCTTAGTATATTCATTATACGTTATCATATCTATTAATATGAACATCATAATTCCCTTCAGACTACGTAACAAGGAAGTAGGAAACAAGCAACTATTAGGCACTTATTATATGCCAGGCACTGTGCTAATCACTGTGGATACAAATAAAAACTATAAAGATATGCCCTGGCTTCTAGTAGTGTGCATTCTAACGATCCACAAAAGGAAGCAGAAAAGGGAATGATGGAAGGAGTCTGCAGCAGAGTCAGTAATTGGGCACAGCAGAAAGAGGGCTGGCAGATATGGCCCCTTTACAAAATAAAGCCCCAGGAGGGACACATCAATGGGAAAATGGAACAGATATCGTGAAGGACATTTCAGGTTAAGAAAGTTATTGGGGTGACTGGGTGTTCCAGGGCAAGGTGGTCCTAAGCCTAGGAGGCAGTTCCACAATAAGACAGCAGCTGAGATGTAGTTTTGAAGCCCCAGAAGTTAAAGACTGGGATGGCAGGAAAATGAGTTATGCTAAGCTCTGATGCAAAGATACAAAGAAAGGCAAAAACAAAAGTTCCTTCCCTCAAGGAGCTCACATTCGAATGGAGGAAACAACGCACTACGACTGTACGTATATAACATATACAATGTAAATCTAGGTACCCCTAAATGGAAGGCATTGAGGCAAAGGGAGAGAAGGACCACAATCCCAACCTTTTCTTCCCTGTCCCTTTAGAGGAACAACAGAGTCAACTAGGTGACAGCCCTGATGGAAATTTAAATCTATCTTCTTCAAATTCAAATTATCTCTTTTGCTGGGACTTCTTAATTCTAGTGACTTAAAAAAGATATCTGGTTAGTATTCCTAGGCTTTGGGGGGCTAAGAACAGGAGAAGTGGTGACCTTTATTCTTTCTCTTTCATTGCCACTAATCCATATTTGGCCTTGGTTACAGCCTTCCCATTAGTGAACCCCATACAAGCCGTACTTTTTTCCCACTCAAAGAATTTAATAGATTGTGTAGCTTACATTTGTGTAGTATTGTAAGGTTTGCAAAATACTCTTCACATATTCTTTCATTTGAGATTTTTGGTTGCATTTAAGGTAAAGAAGGTACCATAAAAAATAAATTTACAAGGCCCAGGAACCTAATTCAGACATAACATTAATCTAGTCTTAAGTGACCAGCTTTGATTGGGGTTTATCATGAGCCACATTCCCAACTAACTTGTCTCAGGGACATGTCACTTAGCCATCCGGCAGGTGACTTGGGAAATGCTGGGGTAGGTGCTTCTTGGCTATGTCCAACATCACTTTTTTTTTTTCTTCTGCTTTCCTTCTGGCCCCTAACACCGACTTCTGGATTTCAGTAAGGCCATTCAAAGTGCTCATCTTATATCTTTTTTGTATGCATATGTCCATTGATAGTTTTTTTATATTATTGAATATCCCCTATAGTTAGATCAGTTAGAATAGTGTCTCTGTTCCTGAATATTTGCAATCTGACAGCTTTCATTTCAGTAATACTACAGAAACCTTAGAGTATCTAGAACCAGCCTGAGCAAGTCAGACAACCTGGGGACCAAGTAGCAGAAGAAAAACCAGGCTTGTTGAGCCACAGATGCTGAGTGATAGGGTGTAATGTACAGGCCAAACTCTACTTGTTCTTTTGGTATTATGTTTACGGGGTTATGGCTTTTTTTGGCCATGACTAAAATGATGACTAATGGATTCAGAGAAAAATGGGAAGGCTTGTATGAAATGATGCAGAATGAAGTAAGTAGAACCAACAAACTATATACATGATTACAAAATTGTAAACAAAGCATTTTGGCCCCAGAGAAGACACAGGGAAATACATCTTCTTTCTTTGGTTGGGAAGGACTTGGGATATGGAATATTGCATATGTTGTCAATGTATCATTTGGTTTTGCTTAGCTGTTCTTACATCTAGGTTACAGTGAAAAACTCACTAGAAGCAGGTAAATGATATGACTGATGTTAAAATAAAAGGCATCAGTTAGAAAAACAAACAAATTTTAAAAAGCTATGCTAGCTCCTGAATATACCATACCTATGCCATTGCTTACCCAGTGGAAAAAAAAAAGGAAATGAGATTAGTCTGACATAACTTCTTTTTGCTGAAGCTGTGATGGTTTTTAGCAGTTGTCTTCTCCATTTCTAAATGCTTACAAACAACAAATTAATAATATGTTCAAGACGTTTAGTCAACAGTACTAATGATACTTCTGAAAGAACCATCATCATGGTCACCCAAGGAGAACTCCAAATTCAGTTCAAACTTGTAACAACTGGGGACAAAGGTATTGGAAGAACTACCTTTCTCAAATGTCACTTGAGTGGTGAATTTCAGAAGTGTATCTCTACCTTTATAATGTTTCATGTAACATCTACAGTTACTTACAAGTGTCAACCCTGTTAACAAATGCCCAAAGAGCCACAGAAGCTTTGCAACTTCTGTTAACTCTAAAAAACAAAAATAAACAAACAAAAACAAACAACCCCCCCAAAAAAAAACCCAGAGAGCTAATACAGGTTATAGAAACTGCAGGTAACTCTTGGGGCAGCCAGGTGGTGCAGTGGATAGAGCTCCAGCTTTGCGGTTAGGAGGACTTGAGTTCAAATGTGGTCTCAGATACTTGACACTTACTACCTGTGTGACCCTGGGCAAGTCACTTAACCTTGATTGCCTCACCAAAAACACAAACACTGCAAGTAACTCTAAAAATAAAATAAAACCAAAGAGCTAACAATGGTTGCAATCAAAAAACTTTCTTTATTCTGTTGGAGGAAGGAAACTAGACACTTGTGTTGGGATCCCCTCTAGTAGGAGACCAGCTTTAGTGTGAGCAAATCTCAATACTCATACCAATAGCTACACAGTGAGCTGTAGCCTTGTCAATGAAGGAGTAACAGCAACAATCAGGCAAATTTTATTTATAGCCAGACTTCATGAGCAGAATACAAGTACCACAGGTGCTTGTCCAAGCTCAGGGACCACCTGATGCTGGTGTGAAACAATTCTGGGATTTTACTGTGGCAGAGATCATCCAGAGGGTGCCCACAAAGGATTATTGTTATGCCAAGCTCAGGGCACAGCTTGCTTGCTGGACCTTAGCTCTGGAAAACATGGTGTCTCCTAATCATAAAAAAAAAAAAGAGGAGTGAAAAAAGAGAGGGATCCTGACACAAGAATGTACTTGACTGGTATAGGGTCTTGGTACAAAAGTGTGAAAATATCCCTAGGGTGCTGTTTGACAACAAACAAAAAGAAAAATCATGATGAATTTCATTGTTGTTAATAGGAAGAAAAATCTCCTGGAAATGACCTTTAAAAAGTTTGAGACACATAATTTCTGGGTAATTAGTCATTTTATTAAAATGCCAGCATTTTTAAATGACCGTGGCACTCTCAAATGCCAAAGGCCATCATAGCAGTGGGCTCATAACTCATATGCTCTTGAAAAAGGAATGTTCCTGAGGGTGGCAGTCAACTCTGATTGGTTAACAATTAATGAGAGAATGAATACTACAATGAGAGGCTGAGAGTGACATCATGTCACTTTTGGACAAAGAGACTATTCTTAAATGGAGACCACCCCCAGCCTTGAGCAATCTATTTGATGAATTTATCCCCACTCAAACCTGAATGGAGCACAATGATTTCCCCACCTGGGTGGTCTGAACAAGATTATTAAGAATGTTAATCCAATCTCATCATTAGTAATGTCCTTTAAGAGACTAAACTTTTGAAATGAGGACTTTAGGAAAGGGGGAACTCTGGATCTCCCCAAATCATTGGTTATTAATAATAATTTCTCTCAAATACTATGACATATGAACTAAAAGCATTTTCAACTTTGAGAAGCCTTTCCTTTGACCTGTGAGAAAACTTGCTAAAGACCCTAATTTGAAGTTTATTGCCAAGTCTATTCTTGTGTCTCCAAAGGTTGTCAAGGACCGATAATTGGCAGCTCAATATGAATAGTATAAATACTCAGACATCTGTGTGCCTGATGAAGATGAAATCTGTATGGGAATGAAGCCAGAGATCTAGTTTTAGAGACAACTGTCCTGTCA